GTTCGGTATCATCGGACATATATTGTAATGTTATTTTCAATCAGTAGGTTAATCCTACAAACTCAAAATCTACTAGACGAATATTGCTCTTTTACTATTAATGTTAACTAACCCATAATGTGGAAATATACATGATTACTAGCTGCCCCCACGAACTTCCCTTCCATTAATTTGATTGTACTTAGACTACCTTTTTTAGTACATACGAACTTGGAACATTTTTTCAATGCTACCCCAGACTGTTCGGTTTTCCGGAGTAAAAACTTTTTTAGGTTTTTTGTGATTTTTAATAATAAACCTCAGAGTTCAAGTTATAAGTTATTAACTAATAAATAAAAAATAGAGGTTCATCGTAGAGGGTAGATGAAAATAAGGGTTGTATGTATTTTTGTATGCTTATTTATATTTTTGTATCATAAAAAAAATTGTCCATAAATATATAAAAAAATTGGGGTGGACACCCCTTATATCTTAGGGGTTTGAAAGATAGATAGTAGCCAATTCTCAGACTTACTGAATACGCATAAAAATTCATAAGAATCGGTCAAGCCGTTTCGGAGGAGTATAGGAACGAACATTGTGACACGAGAATTTTATATATCAGATATATAAGATATATATGCATGATTTTATTTGCGCGTGCAACTGTGTAGTGTCATGTTCCTAAATTTATGAGTCTCCCCGTCCAATTATTCTCTTTTCGTGTTCAAGGACTTAGCGACGGCATTATTATTTACGTTTTTCATTCTTAGAATTCATTGTTTCAATAAATTAAGCAAATATTTTTAATTAATGTCTATATATTATAAAAAGGACAGATTTCATTTGTTTGTAATGGCTAAACATAATGTAAAGTTACATTATCAGTATCATGTAGATGTAGAAGTCGAAGTAGGTACACGGAGAGAAATTGGCTCTGCCAAAAATCAATCTGGAACTGTTTCGGAAAGACACGTTTTGTATGGCAATTAAAGTTTACAATAAATTACCAATAGAATTAAAAGATCTTCCGACTAGAGTCATTAAAAACCGACTTTTGGAAGAAATGTACTATTCAATAAATGATTATTTGCGTGAGACACTGTACTTGATATAAATTTAATAAAGTATGATATGTACGATACAAATAATATAAGAATTGACTTTGACTAATGTAAAATTCCTTAAGACAAATTTGCGCGCCATTGTGTGTGGCAGAATAGGGGAACTTGCGATTGTACCACCTTAACATTTTTGTACCATATTCTTGCAATAAATAAATTATTATTATTATAACAACACTAGGATGAAAAGGGAGCAGTGTTGGTCGGGATGTCACAAACCTAAAAAACTACACATGTCTAAGAAATTTGTCACCACGAACTGTCATTTTTATACAAATTTTATTTTCGATTTTCTACATACACTACTGTTAAGGCATCTTGACTAAGCCCTGATCACCTACTTGCCTAATAAATAAGAAACAATAGTAGAAAGATAATTTATTCGGTCCTACATTGACTACAAAAAACTTACTTATATTGCATTATTATTCTGGAACTCCATGTGAAGACCCCAACACTGATATTATGCAGTCTCTTGGGTGTAGCGCGCTGGCATAAATGAAAATAAAGAAATAAAAACCAATATAATATAGAATGCATTCAAATGCATTTACAGAAGTTAATTTATAGTTGATGAACTAACATTTAGAGATGATTTTCTCGTGTCTAATCCTTCAATTACTGTCTTGACAATGTTTTATTATTTTTATATTCAATGTGTACTAAAATTTTGAAATTAATACATTGAATTATATATGTCACAAGCGGACCCCACAGACGTTGTCCTGCATGATATTTCAAGCGATTAGGATATAAAACAAAGTAGTACCAACTGCAGCGCCATCTGCCGGGCGGATTTGTGAATCTAAACCATCCAGGGCTCCACCCAAACACATACAAAAAGTCATTCAAATCTGTCCAGCCATTTAAGAGGAGTTCAGTGACATACACACGTACTGTAGAATTATATATGTAAGCTATCCTATCTTTTAAGCTAGATCAAATTGCACACGGTGTGCAAATTTGATTGAAATCTGTTAAGTAGTTTAGGAGTCCATAGCGGACAAACAACGCGTCGCGTAATAAATATATATTAAGATAATGTATGTCATCACAAGTAAATAATAATCGGTTGTAGCGCCACTTATTTATGTATTTTCCTTAAATTTGTAACTAAACCAGTCTAAAATATATTAGCATTTCTTTTAATCCGACTTCAGATTATTTTACAACGTGTATGTAAGCGAAGTTTTTTTATTGAAGTCCGACAAATGACTAAGTTTTCCATTTGTAATTTAAATCTTTAAATGCAGATGTCGGTTGTTTTTTTTTAATTTATTTAAATGCATATTTGGCAGTGTCTTTTTGCGTTGAACACACAGACAAATTTTGATGTGGGTTGACGTTGAAGATTAAGCGTTGCGTGTTTTGGAATTATATTAAGCAGTTGTTAAATGAACATTTATATATTTTATATTGGTTTTAATGCTGTGCACATTTTAATTTCGTAATAAATTAACAAACAAAACAATAAAAAAGTGCGTGCGTACAAAGTACACATGTCAGAAGTGAAACTTCTTTGTTAATTAATTATTACTAAGGTAAAAAGCTCCAATAGATGATCATGTACCAGTATTGATTATATACTCATAGTATTTGTATATCTATATTCACGCTGTTTAGACACTGTATACGTGCTAATGATAATATAAATAAATTAAAATCTGCGTTTACTGCACAAGACGTTATGCGACAGAATTGCCATCTAAAGTTCTAAATTCTAATATGTAACTACTAAACGAATACATCAACCAATAGCGTGTATTTTTTCTCGATCTTCCTTACTCTATCTTTCAATCTTTCTCATTATGGCTCACTCCCACCTCTCGCTCCATGGCACTGTGCGTGATGCGACGTTCGCTCTATCTCACTCTCTCTCTCGATCTTTCTCACTTGCTTGCTCCCTACTCTCGCTCCATGGCACTGTGCGTGATGCAACGTTCGCCCTTTCTCACTCTCTCTCTATCGGTGTCAATCGCTCTCTCCCTTTTCTTCGACCGAAACGGTGCACATCTACGTGACGCTAATTTTATTATTATTGCGTTTCATCCGTACAAAACTTCTAAAAAAAGGATTTCATTTGTTTTTTTCGATTTAACTCAGGAACCAAAAAGAAATATTGGTGTTTTAATGTTTCTATAAGTGCGGATTTCTCTTCCATTTTTCCAATCTCTGTTTTTTACTAGCGTTATTAAAATGTTTATAAGATATTAATTTCGTTGCCTTCCAAATTAAAACATGCGTTTGAAGCCCTAAAAGACAATTACCGTGGCTTAGTAATGCAATTGGATATATATGTATGTATGACATGGGTTAAGTTAGACTGTTCACCTGCTTGCCAAAAGATACTTGCCTATAATGGATGTGTAAATTACCGTAAGACCTTCTTTATTACGGCTTCAAAAAACCAGGTTTACTTATTCATTTACACATAGGGCCTCTATCTAGCCACCTTTGCAATAATGTTTGTCAGGCGACATATTCCTGGCGGAGAATGCAAGGGTTTTTTTTTAAACTGTATTGTCTACAGGTGTATTTGAATATATATTTATTTAGAAGAAACGAAATAATAAGAAATATGATTGTTATTGCTGTAAGTGTTTATTATATTAACCTACACAATCTGTGCCAAGATGAAAGAGAAATTTAATTAAAGCATAAATTAGAGATTCCTAATGATTCGTTTGTTTTACCTTTTAATATTCGAAATTATTTAGCGTTTCCCTCTTGAAACTTTCTAAAGTTTTTATTATTTATATTGTAATTTTATTTATTTATTTGTACTTTTTATTTTTAAATAAAAAGAATACTGAAATTTAACATTAAGGACAATTAATACTATTTCAAGGAAAAAACTAAATTCTTTTTTGTTAATTATTTATGCACTTCTTGTACTTTACCGTCTGTAGGTGTTTCTTTTTATTGTTCCATATTAGAGTTCCCTGGAATAAATCGCTTGTTAGCTATAAGGCCGCCCGTTGCCTAATAACTTATGTAACCTGGGTAACGAAGTGTAAATAAATTATTACTGCTAAACAAAGTCAAGGTCCTCGAATTAATTTTAACAATATTCAGGTTTTAATTATTTATAGAAACCTCAAAAATCAAACCATTTTTTGGATGTATTACAATGCCCAAGACTAGATAATGACCGAATAAAACCTAAAGTTATAAAAGTAATTATTTAAAATCACATTCAAATTTTGTTTTGATGTCATAATTGCTTAAAATGTGCAACAGTTTTTTTGTGATACCCAATGGTTTTAATGATACACAATCGCAGAGGACGTTTAGGATTGTACAGTCATGCCTCCGATATCTGTAGGCATAATTTAACAAGTGTTACCAAGGCTATCAAACTAGAGCTTGATGTGTTAAATAGGGCATTCTGTTTAAGGTTGTTAGGCCAGTAACCCGCTCAACAAGTGGCTGGCCTATTCGCTCCGCGCCCATTATCAACGCGATAAGAATATATTGATAACCCGTGCATTGCATATGTCATAACTCACTATCAGAGAATGCAGTTACACATATCGGCTCACGAAACTGTGGCTTCGACAAATTCGCCAGCGATTAGTATTATCTGTGCGATAGTCCAGTCAAGACTTAGACCACCAGTGTCACTGGTCAACGCCCCGGTGGTGAGTTTCGCGAGTCCTGTTACTCGCACCACACATTCACATTAATATTCCGCACCGGTAATTGCGAACTTAGCTGTTGATTCCTGACGGTTGACGCATCGGTGTCCACATTACTTTATCATACAATTTTGCCCTCATTAAATATTTATAGATTTACGATCGCCGTGCACGTTTTGAATGAGCGCCAGATTAAAAAACAGTTTCCAACTTCATCTACATTTGAATTGTATGTAAAATGTAAATAGTGAGTAAAGACATGCTCGAGACAAAGACATTCCGCAGACGGGGCGAGAGGGAATCTCGCGAGGAGGGCGACGAACAGACGGCTTTCATCGTGAGTGAACGCATACGGTGTAAAAAACGGATAGGCAGCCAATAAAAACCCTGTGGGGAGATGTCGAGGGGCGGGTGCTGTGCGCTCGGCTGCAAGACGCAAGTGCACGCTGCAGTCTCTCGGCGCCGGGCTGGGTGCGCGCACGCAGCTTTACATCCCTCAATCGCTCACCAGTTCCTATCGAAAGCATGCGCTTGAGTCGCTTCGGGCGCGACGACTCAGAAGTTTTCCGTATCGCTAATCAACATTCCTTGTCTCCCCGTTATCAGAAAGCATTCAGCGAGCTTCGCGTGTATTTTGTTTCCGCTCAGTCGATTGCGTCGCGCTAAGGGTTGTTCAGACTAGTCGTGGTCAAGCGATATGACGTGAGTCTATACAATTACAAAAATATTGTTTTGAACTATTTGTTGAACTGTTTTTCATTTGTTGCAGGGCACCGGTTGTTGTAACTGTACCAGCGGGTGGGGAGGGTCCCAACGGCCTTGCACCCCAGGAAGACGTTATGAAAGGCGTGGAGGCCACACCAGAGGAACAAGAACGGTTAGCTTCCGGAAATAATAATGGCTCCCTCGACTGCAAACTTCCGCCCACCCAGCCTCGCTCCGTGTTTCACTCGACTCACGTGTTCATGCTGGTTTTCCTCTCGGGTTGGGTGTTGCAGGGCATGTTCCTCACTTATTTCGTGAGTGTGACGACGACAGTTGAGAAGCTGTATAAGGTGGAATCAAAAACGACAGGGATTTTACTGTCTGCGACGGAAATTGGACAAATATGCACAGCGTTATTTTTGACTTACTTAGCTGGCCGTGGACACAGGCCGAGATGGATTGGATGCATGATGATCGTTCTAGCAATAGGAGTTATTGGATGTGTGGTACCTCATATACTGTATGGGACGCAGTTGATGGACGTACATTTGGACTCGCATCGGGCTGAAGCTGCGCCCGTGTGCAATGACAATTCGTCGACAGCTTGCGATGCAGCTTATATGAAAAGTACTGCTGCTCGATCCTCTATAACAGCAGTAGTGATTCCCTGGCTCTTCGTGTGTCTCCTGGTGGTTGGAGTGGGCCAGACTGGGATAGCAACGCTTGGCATACCCTATGTTGATGACAATGTCGGCAGCAGACAATCTCCTCTGTATATGGGTAAGTCAATTACAATGTAAACTCTTTATAACGTCATTTGTTATAATGACAATCTCTCTGTAACGTAAAATAAGTTAAATTTGAAAATGTAAGAAACATTTTCATATTTAGACATCAACAACATACTTAAGTGTTATTGTTTTTATAATCAGCTTACGAAACGAAGCTTTTGAGGTGCCGAAAGTTCTAAAAACAGAGAGGAAGACACCTGAGGTCATAGACTGCCGTCTCGCCTTTGTTATTGTTTATTGCATTAACACGTGTGCCATTATTCTTAGATTACATTGCTTGTAGGAAATTTTAGTCTAAGTTACTAAACGCACCGTTGCTACCTATCTGTTATACATATAAAATATTGTAATTGATTAAATTTCATTTTTTATTTTCCTTCCGTATAACAAAAACTCTCTATAACGATAAATAATACTCGGTCCCTTGAAATTCGTTTTAAAAACTTTACACTGTATATCGTAACTTTATGTTAGTTTTTAAAGAGAATTGAATATAATAACATCAACGTTTCATGATAGTAATTTAAAGCTGTTCGCTTGCATTTTACTCTCACTAATCACCGATGCGTGCGAGAGAAACGATTATGTCAATTCTTCACAATTGACATAATAGGGAGCCTATGCCCTTACAGGATAAGCTTATTACTTTTACTTTAGATATTAATAGCCCATTTCTCATTTTATTGCATACGCCATTTAAGAGAAGACGGCGTTGCCATGTTTAAATTTCTTGCCAGACAAGACAATTTATACTCAATCAGTGCTTCATAGGGATATTTTATTTTATTGCAAGCGAGATTGAAAGCCTTAACGATTCTCTGTAATACGTTGTCTTAGTAAGTTTTGAGAAGTACATGTACATAAAAGTAAATAAAAAAGTAAATAATTTCGATGTATCGATGCGGATGGCTATTGTTTCTTTGAAACGAGTTTCGTTGGGGCGTCGCGCTCGGTGCACTGCAATGTAAACTTACAACGTAATAAATCTAGCCCGTGTTTTTTCAAACGAAATACGATACTGCTGTTTGTATAGTTTAAAAACTAAATAAAGAAATAATTTAGCGCCTGGCAGAATATTTTCTGTATACCGAGGTGCTGTCATAACCTGAAAATTCAGTTGTAATTGCTTCAAAATTATCTCAAAAGATATGTTTAGCATATGCGTAATAAGAAGGGAGATTTATGCCCAATATCAAGAAAAATTAGTTGCTACTTTTCACTAGATGGCGTTGATAGTCGAATGAAACGCGCTAGCGTTTCGCCTATTTACAGCACTAGGTACTTATTGATTTGTTTAATTAATTTAATGACCTACACGTGCAAAGATAAATTTTTTGCAAAGCAATAGTTGATTATTGCTTATAAGTATATCTTTGTTTTAGTCAGCACTTGTTTGTCCTGTTACCTGTAGCAGAGTGAGCACTGAGCAGACTGTTTGAAGTTTTATCACTTAACTGTTAACTACTAAAATCATGAATTTCTCTAGTCTAATGATTACTGGGTCTAACTTGAATAACATTGGATAAAAATATATATATTTTATTCTAAGAAGCCTTTTCTTTAGTGTTTTGAAATCGGGTAATAACTAATAAGCTGAATTGAAATAATTAGAAAATTTAATATTGAGTCTTCTATAAAGAATAATAAACAAGTAGCAATAGTAACAATTCCTAATTCAATAACATTGAAAAGTATTTTTCATACTAACTTATGTTATTTCATATTAAAATCATATAAAATCACATTTTCTCATAAACAGTGTTTTAAGATTAATAGGATCGCTTTCGAGCCTTTCTTACATACATACTTAACAAGATCGTGCCATAAAAGTTAAAAAAATATTTATACTTTGTTTAAATAACAATTTTTTTACTTTAACAACATAACTTGGATTTTTTAGTTTTTGTTTAAGTAAAAAAATTATTATAACGAAATGCCATTTTTTTTTTCATCTTTAATTGTTTATAACTTTTGCAATTTTTTATGTGCTAATACACGCTTTTGGCACATTTTTCTAGACGTCATTCCGGATCCAATGAGCTATCGCACATAATTTTAAGAGCAGTATCTCTATTATGTACCATTTTCAACTTGTCGACTAGACTAACAGTAGAAATAGAAACGCTAAGTTGGTTTGAGTTTTTGAAGGAAATAAGGATTCGCCTATATTATACAATATTATAAAGAGGGAAGATTTGTATGTAAATATGGTTGCAACAAATTGTCTCAAAAAATACTGGACCGATTTAAAAAATTCTTACACCATTTGAATGCTACATTATCACTGATTAAAACAGGCTATTTTAATTGAAAGAAAAAAATAAGGATCCCTACTAAAATTACAATAAAATATCTTTCATCGCATGCGCTGCGAAAACTATTGATGATAGAACTAAAAAATGTTTCACAATATTAAAGAACTTATCAATGTCTAGAAAATTTACAAAAACATTCCACCCGTGCGAAGCCGGCATGTGCCGCTAGTATTGTATATACAAGTTTCTATTTATTTTAATCAGATAAAATTTATAAATAAATGTATAATTTCACTAGCGTGCGTTTAAATAATATACAATTGCCCAACTGCATTGTGGTTTACGTGCACGTGAGTTTACGAAATGTCATATGTGATGCGTTTTAGATGCATATGTGTCAGTAGGGCGGGACGTCTCGTCGCCACTTAAGCTTGTTAAAATATATTCCCTTTAACTGTCCACAAAAAAACAAGGAAATTGATCGTTTTACTGTATATTTTACGATGAAATCATTTGTTACTTGTCGTGGTTATTGCTTGGTTTAATTCTTTTGCTCTGATTTTAATTTTTGGGGGTTAAGAAGAGGTTCTGTTCAAGTGGAAATTAGGTGAGATTTTATTCTATTTGTACGCGAATATATTTAAAAAAAAATAATATTCAGGAAAATGTACTTACGTAACAATTAACAAAATTTAAAATGATTTAATAATATTTCCGTAAAAGCAATATAAACATTCTTTAGTAGTTTTTATTTTTTTATATGTTAAGTGATACCGCCGCCCATGGACACTCTCAATCCCAGAGGGCTCGCGAGTGCGTTGGCGGCATTTTAAGAATTCTTACTTAAGCTTCTTCAGGTCATACTTAGAAGCGTAAAGGCATGTTCGATTCCCATTGAAACCATTGCCTATAAACTTCATTGGGCAGTAACTTTATTACTAACGAATATATTTAATAGTGAAATAATAATAATAATATAATAATAATAATAATAATCTTTATTTTCTTCTCTCACATACATAAGGTTTTTATGATTAAAGTAAGATTATAACATTAGGAAGTGTATGTGAGAGACTGGTCTCTGTAACAGGAGACCTGAGTGACAGATAACCAGCCTCTCCACCACCGGACCGGAACGCGTACAATCATGTCATTGTCAAAGGTTACAATAGAAGAAAATAAGTATAAAGTGCTAAAGAAAACATTGTAAACGGAGTTTTAAAAATAAATTTGGTGTGTGTTTGTGTGTGTGTGTATGTGTGTGTATGTGTGTGTGTCTCTCTCTCTCTAAGTGTGTGTATGCGTGCGTGGGTGTGTGTATATGTGTGGGGGAGTGGGTGAGTTACAGAATGACAGTTATTAGATCCTCTGTTTCATCATAACTCAACGTCTTCAGCCAAGTAGTAACCTTTTTTTTACATTTGTATTTGGGTAGTGGGTAAATGTTAATTTTTTCGTTTAATTTATTATACAAATAACAGCCTAGGAAACCAAAGAACCTTTGCGAGAAAGAAGTTGTCCATTTTGTAATACAACAGCAAACTTTATGTTTTATCCGCTTGTTAATATTTAAATCGGGGTCGTAACTAGTTTTATGATGTTGTTTTAGAACTGTGTTCAGAATAAATAATTGACGAATTGTTAATACATCGGCTAGGGCATAAAGCTCTTTGGTGGGAAAAAGAAGCGGTAAGGAGTGGCTTACTTTTAATACTGCTCGTTGGGCTCTTTCAAGTTTTAGGAGATTGGTTTTGAAAGTACCTCCCCAAACAGTGATACAATATCCTAAAATTGATTGACATAAAGACTGATAAACTACGTTAATAATTTTTTTGTCTGCTATAGACCTTAAAGTTTTGAAGATATAAATGAGTTTACGGGTTCTGCAAGAGAGAAGATCCACGTGAGAATTAAAACTCAAGTTACTGTCGATAACTACACCCAAATACTTAATACTATGGGCAAGGGAAATGCTTTTGCAATGGCAGAGTTGATTTGAAGAGCAAGTATGGGCTATGATAGAAAAATTATTATGAATAAAATAATTGTCATTTGAAGGCTCTATACGTATAACAACTCCACATGCAATTTTCACATATTCTTATGCAAGTTTGGCTATCATATTACTCTGCAATCATTGTGGTTGACGTAGGTCAGTTTCGCAATGATTAGATTACGATAGTATTAGCAGATTATAAATCTTCTTTAACTGAAGTAATATTTTGTCTTTTCCTGTCTAATTGTTTACGTTGATAAAATGCATATTTTTGTTAAATCGAAACAATTGGACTCTGACTCTCGGAGGTGACAAAATTTACTGGCATTTTAAACGTGAAAATGTGTCTATGGTCTTTAAACAATAGCAGATGCCAATAGCGAGATGAGACTGATTTACCCTCTGACTGTGTAAACCCTCGAAAGAGTTACATCTAATATATAAAATTCTCGTGTCGCGGTGTTTGTAGTTAAACTCCTCCGAAACGGCTTGACCGATTCTCATGAAATTTTGTGTGCATATTGGGTATGACTGAGAATCGGACAACATCTAGTATCAGTAGTCCACCACAATTTTTTTTTTTAATTTTTAGATAATTTTAATTTTTTTTAATTTTTTTTATGATACAGCATTAAAAAATACATACAACCCCTAATTTTCACCCCTCTACAATCAACCCCTATTTTTTATTATAAATGATATACATGACAAAACGACGTTTGCCGGATCAGCTAGTAATGTAATAAATTCGTTACTTTGTAATTCTTAATAAATTTTTAATAAAACGCACTTGCGAGCTCTGGCGTTGAATATGTTCATGGGCGGTATTACTTAATATATTACGTTTGACCCTGGTTCTATTAAACAAATTAATTTGAATTAATCTCCAATAATCATTTTCATGAGATTTATAAGTTCCGGTGCGTGAAGTCTACTACTACTAGTCCTGTATAAAGTTTGTATTGAAAATATGAAACAGGAAAACTAAAACTACTAGTTACGACACACTACTTAGAAGTAAACTACTTTGGCATACTTATATAGAATTAATTATATTTGTAGTCAAACAGTTGAATGAACCACTATCAGTCAACCTTGCGTGTTTATCATTAAATATTGCACTATTGTTAATCTAATTAATGACAAACTTTTCGACCGAATAATTTGATTTATTGAGAATTTTAAATGCCTCATGGAAACTGTAAGGAAAGGGTTTCAGTGACAGTTTTGACTATATTTTCGTGTTCCGCTAGAAAGATTCTAACTTTACGCAGATTTGAAATAGTTTTTAATGATTTAAATAACGTATTATTTAATGGCATGTTGATAATATATAAATATCGAAAATTTAGTTCTAATACAGGTATGTCATGTAAGTTTTATATTTATAAAAGTATAGAACACTTTATAGACATTTTAAAAGCCTAATAATGTAGTATTGAGAGGTGGAATTCATTAAAAATACAGTGAAAGCTCCATGTAACGTCCATCCATTTAACGACGAACTCCCTAAAGCGTCGAAATCACTTGTCTTCCATACAATGATATACTCTACATAGCATTACATCCTGTCAATAACGACAATTAAATAATAAAATGTACTTTTTAAGTTGCCGAAATTAGTTAAAACTGCGGAACTGTGTACGTTCTTTTGTAGCTTTATTGTCCTAGCCCGTAATAAATTCGACTGTCGGCATCATACGTACCGAACTTTCTAAGATATCCATTATTTTGATTACAAATTGGGATTGCTTGAGCGTGATTTATCACGAAGATGCCTCTATTGAGGCGATTACGATATTGATTGCGATATTTCGTAAGATATGAATAAAACAAGTAAAAAAATACATCATAATTTCTGGTGCAACAAAAGGCGTCAGGCGGAAATAACAGACTATATGCAATAGCGTTCAAATAAGAATTGTTTTTTTATGTAATTACTAACACTAGTCTGAAATAAACTTTTTCTTTTTCTAGATTTTTCTACATTCTATTTATCGCCTACTCTCTGTAACGTCAAAATATGCACAGTCCCTTTAGTGTCGTTATATAGAGTTTATACTGTATATATTTTTATCAAAGTTTTTACATGGGGGCCTTTCAAATATTACGTAAGCACTATAGGGGGGAGGGGGTGAATTTCTTATTTGGTGATTACGTCAACAGTAATTTACTTTTTTCCATATATTACCCACACGCTTGACAACGAAATGCATTTTCGAGGATTCCTACAAAAAATTAATACGTTTATGTACTATTTTTGAGAGCTTTAACTTTTGCTGACAAGAGGAAGAGGGGTGGGGGATAAATTGCAGTAAATCTGCTTAGGTAATACTTGAACGACCCCATATTAAAACCCGACTCGAAGCTACACCTATATCTACTTGTAGCTTTTCGAGTTTATTAGGTCATGTAACAAGGTTATCATGAGCCCTACTGCCTTTTATACGTTATCGTCTGTAATTGAGTTTTTAGGTTTCAATATACAGTTCGTTATCAAAAGGACATTACAATTGGTTAATTAGTTTACTATTTGTATTGTTAATTCGTATAATAATTATGTAATAACGCATTCTAAAGTTTAACGAATGTTCTACTGTTTTGTGTTAGAAGTACTTGTTCTGATAAAGTATAGAATCTTTAGCTAATTAAAAGTTGTCTGCTTAAACTGTTAATCTATTCACAACCAGTTTTACTGTATACGTTTTTAATCTGTAGTCCTTTCTGTTCTCTATTTGTACAATCTGTTACTTTAAATATTCTATAATATAATACCAAAAGTATAAGGGTAGCAAGCAAAAAGTTCAGAATATTAAATATAAATTAAAGTTCCATTAAGCGAGTTTCGATGAAAAGAATTGGAACTAAACTAAACAGTATATTATTGTCCAACAATCGGTAATTTATGTTTCTAAAAGAACATTTCTTAAGGCTTTGTAAAGCTTTTGACGTATCAAGTAATCATGTCACGTCTACAGGATAAAGGAACAAAACTGGACTCAACGCGTCCCTTGTTGTGCCTCTATTCCCTCAATGAATGTGGTAAAATGCGTATCTTGTGTAAACTGGTTTTAGAAAATTTTAAACTTGATTGACAAAGGTTTTCTTGTTGATGCTTAGACTACTGGTGACTTGTAAGTTAGTTTAAATCATTCATTTTGATGCAATAAAGAGTACTATATGTTAGGCTCAGATTGTAAGTAGCTAGAAATATATCTTGTATAATAATCTATCTTGCTTGCTGCTTCTTGCCTTCATTACTGAAGGTCTCTGTCTTGAAAATCCCTAACCGATACGTATTAGCCATGTTGAGAACCATAATTGGCTTAATTTGGTCAGACGGGGTAGGTGATCGACCTCGACTTTTCCCGCCATCACTGTTCCCTTCCATTACCAGCTTGAGACTACTCGGACTATTCGGTTATGAACATATTGATATTGGTAATTAAAATAAAAGTTAATTGTGTAATGGTTGCAGCTCCTTACAAACATTGTGTAAAACAAAAAACTTGGCGATTAAAAAGAGTGGCGGAGAGTTTATTGCCAGTTCTTCTCTTCTGTTCTACGGCCTTCATTTGAGAACTGGCAGTTATTGTAAAATTAGAAGCAATTCATAAGTGTACATTTTGTTACCTATATGAATAAATTATATTTGAATTTTGTTGTCACAGACAAGCAACTTTGCTACATCAAAACCTTATTACCATTATCTTCCCAAGACCAAAAGCGAGTTGTTTCATCATGACAGCTTGTGGTATTTAAATTGCTTGTGGTGGTTAAAAATCGTATATCCACTCTGCTGAATATTTGAGTGTAATCAAATTTTAAGTAGTTAAATCAGTGCAAAATAACTTAAATTTTTTGACAATTGTGTTATGCAGTAGGTTGAAGCTAATTACACGAAAACCGGTAATAACAGTTATAAAAGCGGTACACGCAATATTAAATCATTATCAGATGAAATACTGAACGTTATTGCGCGAATTTCTTTTCGAGATAGAATCACGGCTACTTTAAACATTATAAAAACTACACAAGTAAGCTATCTATATACCTTTTCGAATGTAGTCACACCAAAGTGTATAATGATAATAGGAAAATTTATATTCTGTTCAAAGAGGACCATGCAAGCAAAATGCATTGGGTGATTTTGGCAAGCGACGCGGACGATTTCTCAGAATGATTACATTTGCTGCATAAGTACCTGATTGTTTTTCGGTCAATAACCCTTGGTTATATAAAAAGAGCTTTATAAATCTCTTTATATATGTACTTTAATTACTGTGTCTCAGATATAAAAGACGTTGAGTTCAGTTCTACTCGCCGTTTTTCATCGTTTCATGATTTTGCCAAGAGTTTTTTACGCCGGCTTTTTCTCTCGGCCTACATCCTCTGTCTTCTTTGTTGTAGTAATCTAATGATCTAATGAGCAGGGATGTCTACCGATACAAATTTAATGACGTGGAATGAGTGATACCTGTATCTTGTATTCCAGAATAAACATATTTTTTTTTCATGGGTTATCTAGCGATATCTTTAATACCTCTTTACTTAAACTAACTGTAATTAGACTGTATTTCTTAGCATTATTGGTCGCTGGCCAGTTTGTACTTATATAGACGGTTGCACTGTGGCTACTGGACCTCAACTATGAGGATACAGAAAAAATGCTGACAATAATTAAATAGTTGAGTTTAGAGTTGATTTTGAGTATAATAGTTTTAGCTTCAATAGACTAACACTTAAGTAATAAAATATAAAACATACACAGACACACACCCACACACATACACATAATTTACACATACACACATACCCCATCTGGTTTCCTCTATATACTATATATTGTAATGTATTGTATTGTATCTTCTGTCAATCCGAAGTAGTGGAGGCCTGATGACCTGTAACACAGGTACTCTTACCTTTATCAGGCATCAGTCTCACACAGACTTGCTTTTTCCATTAACAGAAGTGAGAATATAACTGTCACTTGCCTATGTTCTAAGTTTAAGTTTTTGTGAGAAAAATAAATAAATCAATAAAATAAATATCAATTTACATAATGCATGTCTCAGCTCCATCATTAATATCTTTAATATTGTATGCATCGTTGGCTCCCGTAGGACCTTCATTAATAAAATTCATGCCAGCATGCAATCCACCTTGCGTGTTACGTTTATTATGACCGCAGACGGATTTTATTATTTTTATTTTTACAGCAATAACGATTGGGATCAGAGTAATTGGACCGGCGCTTGGATTTCTACTCGGGGCTTTGTGTACGAGAGTATACGTAGACCCACTTCAAGACCCTGGATACGAATATGATGATCCGAGATGGGTTGGAGCTTGGTGGCTTGGTAAGTAAATCCTTATAAAATTAAGTTGTCTTTTACAGTAGCGTTGCGTTTTTAGCTGCATTAATCAGTGTCGTTGAGGATTTATTGTTTACGTTATTCGTCTTTTAAATAACGTCATATTTAAATTCTTGGATTTCTATATTTCAATGTAACGTGAAGTCGTCGTTGAGAGTTCATGTAACATAGAACTATTTATTGTTATTGGTTGAGCTTCGGTCTTTACGAACTGTACCGGTATAATGTACCCATTGAAAGATCCTCTACGGTATGGGTGCTGGAATGCCTTCGCAGCCATACACATTACACACATCGCGGAACTGTCAGCTACCGTTACTTAACCATTGACTCAGATTTGTGCGCAAAATCCACGAAGAAAGCACGAACGTGACTGAAGTACTAAAGGAATGCGTACAAAGTGATATTCCAGTCTTTGTAACAATGGCATCTTTAATACGTACAGGACAGAGTTGGCAATTCACTGTTTTTTTGCTTGTGCCGAAGTAGAAATTAAGCGTGCTTTGACTTGCAATAGATTGAATTCGCAAATCACGAAATGGTTCCGCGTATTTCCTTATTGTTTTTAGTTATAACTTCATCGATGAAGACTGAATATTAATAAGGGTTTTATGGATACATTTGTAACCGCCATGAATACATTGTACATATTTCAATGATATTTATATTAACGTTTATTGTCATTAAGAGCAGTGTTGTCCTAGTGGATTCAGTGTGTGACTCTCATCCCTGAGGTCGTAGGTTTGATCTCCGGCTGTGAAACGGACTTTCTTTCATGTGCGAATATAACATTCGCTCGAACGGTGAAGGAATACATAGTGAGGAAACCGGCTTGCCCTTAAACCCATTATCACCTATTACATTGACAAATGATCATGAAACAGATACATAAATCTGAGGCTCAGACCTAAAAAGGTTGTGGCGCCACTGATTGATATATTTTTATTGTCATTAAGATAATGCTCTTTTATTATCATTTTACGTTATAATAGCGATTGGCTCGATTGAAATCAGTAGGTTCGCGTTGCACTACGATGCAATTTTCTCTTGGCTTTCGCTTTTCCTCTGTTGCATCGTCGTCACGCTGGCGGTCACAACGCACGCTTTGTGTTATATAATGCGTTACATCATGTCGCGTCACTACGACTAAAATAAGCATTCTATCTACACGGTCATGGCCAAGGCTACGCCTTGTTGTCGACAATTATGCCATCGCCGGTTGTAATGAGGTTTTAGTGGGTGGACACGGGACCACCTCGTTCACTTTTACTTCTAAACCGGTTGGTGTTGTTTATGTCAAGAGGTTAAATCCCTGTCTCCAATTCTAATTTTCAAAACACGTTCGGTTTTAATTCGAGTAGAATACGTACCTAAATGTCTAGCAAACGCCCTTGACTGGCGCTGGCCGGATGACCTTGTAAACGCAAGTGTGGTCTGTTTTGATGTATCAGGATCCATTTTGGTTCAATGCCGAGTTTTTGTTTTGTAATTATGGTTTAGTATTTTGATCACACAGGTATTGAGATATATTTTAGCTTATTGATTCTGAACAACACGAAGCTTTTGTAAGCAACTAAGGGATATAAAAAAACGTGTGTGTACTTATGTACACGCGTTAGAAGTTATACTTCTTTGTAACAAGATAAAAATCTTTTTAATTTTTTTATTCTAGCTATATATAGCTAACTTCAGGGTGTCGGTTTGTGACGGGGTGTGCGCGCATATCGTAAAAGTTTACTCTCATCATTTTTCCCTAACGCGCCTAAAGAAGGATAACTTCAATAATAATAATAATAATTCTTTATTTTCTCGCATATAACATTTACAACAAACAATAAGATAACAGTTGAGAAGGTATTGGGAGACTGGTTTCCAAACTAGGTAAGAACTTGTGATTTGGATAGCCATGCTTCCATTCCTCAGCAAAGTCATATTGAGTGGTAACAAAAAGTTACGTAGGCAAACAAATATAAGTTTTAATACAGAAAAAAAAACAAAACAAAACTGTCAACTAGATAGACTAGTTAGAAGTTATAGAAATAAAGTTGTATGGGTGTATGTGAGGGTGTGCTGTGAGGGTGTGCTGTGTTTGTATTGAATACAATTCAAGAAAAAAATCAATGGCACTTCAACCTCTTTAGGTCTGGGCCTCAGATTTCTGAATCTGTTTCATGATCAGTTTTAAGTCTAATAGGCAAGTAGGATATCAGCCTGTGCCTGACACACGCCGTCGACTTTTTGGGTCTAAGACATGTCGGTTTTCTCACGATGTTTTCTTTCAACGTTCGAGCGAATTTTAAATGCGCACATAGAAAGAAAGTCCATTGGTGCACAGCCGGAGGTCGAACCTACGACCTCAGGGATGAGAGTCGCACCCTGAAGCCACTGGGCCAACACTGCTCAATTTTAGTTAAGGGAGGGGACATTTGAACTTTATTTAAAAGTTTACTCGGCAACTGTATTAGGGAGCGTTCAAGTATTACGTAACGAATTTGGGGGGTTCCTTTTGTAAAACGTTACGATGCGGGGCGGGTATTGAATTACGCGTTATTGATAATATTATTTTCGACATATCAGTACTTTACACCACATAATGGTAACTATAAGCTATAAAGAGTCACTGGGTGGTCAAGAAAAGTTTTACTATACTTGGGTACAGAAAAACGTTACGGCTCGTTACGTGGCGGGGGTCAATAATCCCCAAAAATTGCGTGACGTAATACTTGAACGCTCCCTTACTGAATAGCTGATAATCATCAAGGTTGTAGTCCTATTATCTTATGTCTCATACAAGGTTCAATGATTTTGGTATTATTACGTATATTGATAATGGGCGTAATATTGTTAAAAGCGCTAATAAATTATGTATAAGTGCGGTTTTGTTCTTTAGAATTCTTTGCTAATCATGGTTTTTTTGTTGTTTACTATGTGTTGCGTTCATTAGACCGATGCGAAGTTATTAGTCAGTAGATATGGCCCACCGTTTCGCCAGCGAATATTTTTACGATATCTCCAACAATAATTGTCATTTAGATCAATTTACACTGCACTTGCTAGCCCTCTGACATTGAGTGTCCATGGGCGGCAGTATGGGCAGCATGGGCATGCTTCGTATAAGCTGGATCCAGAAGGTCTCTAACGAGAAGGTTCTAAAACGAGTTGGAATGTCGAAAAGCTTTTGCTGACCATTAAACAACGGAAAGTTGCGTACCTGGGCCACGTGTTGCGCCATGACCGCTACCACCTCCTTCAATTAATTATAATGGGTAAAATCCAGGGTAAACGGCGTGTTGGTAGAAGGAAGAAATCATGGCTTCGCAACGTTAGGGAGTGGACGGGTATTGCAACTGCGGAATAGTTGCTGCATCTGGCACAGGACAAGACACGCTTCAAGATACTGACGGCCAACCTCCAGTAATGGCGAGGCACTAAAAGAAGAAGGGCGGCAGTATCACTTAATATCAGATGAGCCTCCTGTCCGTTTCAAAAAATACATAAACGCATAATAAATACATACATACACCTAAACCTTCGTCATACATTTGTACGTTATAATATGTGTAGATATAGTATGCTAAGTATTTAAATTTGCTAAGTAACTATAAATGTGGGCGGAGTGTGATAAAACTATTATTCTTGTTTACTTAAATAACATTTATGGTATTAGATATCGTGGGATATCCCTATCACGCGTTTGGCACATGTGTGACAACCTTGAACATTTTGACGGATAAAAAGAGTTTGACAGGTCTTGATATGTATTTGTATTGATTTATTTAAATGCGTAAAAAGTCAAAAGTCAAAATCTTTTATTCATATAGGTAACACAATGTACACTTATGAACGTCAAAAAAGAAATATACATTAAATGCTTCTAATTTTATATTTACTGCCAGTTCTCAAATCAAGGGCGTAGAACGGAAGAGAAGAACTGGCAATAAACTCTCCGCTACTCTTTTGTAGGAATCTCATGTTATGTAGTGTCATATAACATGAGATTCCGTTCTATTACTGGGGAAAACTCAGTTTTAAAAGGCTTAAGGACCTTTGAGAATATCTCTCTAGTGGTCATCCATAAGACATAGGATTTTATACTCTAATACTTTTTATATTTATATTTTATAATTTCTTATCTTTTACTAAGGTTTTGTTTTTGTCAATTCTAGGTATGGTGTTCATAGCAGGATTCGTTGTGATCCTCTCTCCTCTCTGATGTTCTGTTTCCCGAAGCAAATACGACAGAGTCCTCTACCACCGCCTCCCAAGAAGATTAAAGAGAAGAATGAGCCGTTGTTTAAAGGTATTTTACAAGTTCATTAATTAATGGAAATAAAGCTGACGTATTAAAGAATAGTCAAAATCTGTTATAACGACATCGAAGGGACTACTCATATTTGGTCGTAAAACAGATAGCCGTAACAGCCGATGTTATTAAGTACCTAATACATAGAATTCAGCCGGGATCTTTGATTTTTGGTAAATATAACCGGTATGTTGTTCTAAACGATGTCGACGTAAACGGTTTTGACAGTAATTGGATTAAAGCGTAATATACGTACGCTTTTAAAATAATGAATGTTAATATTAATATAAAGTCTTATTCCTTATTAGTATTGAATAGGGTCAAATGCACGTAAATTATTTCCAAGCGTACGAGTAAATTTGCACCAAAACAATGTCAAATAAACGTCAGTTGATAAATGACAATGACATTCCAATTCCTTACCTAAGAAATTTTAAAGTGTTTTAAATGCTATTTCAAGATTTTAATGCAATATAAAAATTAATCATAGTTTATTAATTCACAAATTTCTGTGCAATATCTAATCTTTTGACAAATGACAGTGACATCTTTGATATAAGCAATGTGTTGACAGTCAACTTTTGTTGTTTTAACTATCCACTCTGCTGAATATTTGAGTGTAATCAAATTTTAAGTAGTTAAATCAGTGCAAAATAACTTAAATTTTTTGACAATTGTGTTATGCAGTAGGTTGAAGCTAATTACACGAAAACCGGTAATAACAGTTATAAAAGCGGTACACGCAATATTAAATCATTATCAGATGAAATACTGAACGTTATTGCGCGAATTTCTTTTCGAGATAGAATCACGGCTACTTTAAACATTATAAAAACTACACAAGTAAGCTATCTATATACCTTTTCGAATGTAGTCACACCAAAGTGTATAATGATAATAGGAAAATTTATATTCTGTTCAAAGAGGACCATGCAAGCAAAATGCATTGGGTGATTTTGGCAAGCGACGCGGACGATTTCTCAGAATGATTACATTTGCTGCATAAGTACCTGATTGTTTTTCGGTCAATAACCCTTGGTTATATAAAAAGAGCTTTATAAATCTCTTTATATATGTACTTTAATTACTGTGTCTCAGATATAAAAAGACGTTGAGTTCAGTTCTACTCGCCGTTTTTCATCGTTTCATGATTTTACCAAGAGTTTTTTACGCCGGCTTTTTTCTCTCGGCCTACATCCTCTGTCTTCTTTGTTGTAGTAATCTAATGATCTAATGAGCAGGGATGTCTACCGATACAAATTTAATGACGTGGAATGAGTGATACCTGTATCTTGTATTCCAGAATAAACATATTTTTTTTTCATGGGTTATCTAGCGATATCTTTAATACCTCTTTACTTAAACTAACTGTAATTAGACTGTCTTTCTTAGCATTATTGGTCGCTGGCCAGTTTGTACTTATATAGACGGTTGCACTGTGGCTACTGGACCTCAACTATGAGGATACAGAAAAAATGCTGACAATAATTAAATAGTTGAGTTTAGAGTTGATTTTGAGTATAATAGTTTTAGCTTCAATAGACTAACACTTAAGTAATAAAATATAAAACATACACAGACACACACCCACACACATACACATAATTTACACATACACACATACCCCATCTGGTTTCCTCTATATACTATATATTGTAATGTATTGTATTGTATCTTCTGTCAATCCGAAGTAGTGGAGGCCTGATGACCTGTAACACAGGTACTCTTACCTTTATCAGGCATCAGTCTCACACAGACTTGCTTTTTCCATTAACAGAAGTGAGAATATAACTGTCACTTGCCTATGTTCTAAGTTTAAGTTTTTGTGAGAAAAATAAATAAATCAATAAAATAAATATCAATTTACATAATGCGTGTCCCAGCTCCATCATTAATATCTTTAATATTGTATGCATCGTTGGCTCCCGTAGGACCTTCATTAATAAAATTCATGCCAGCATGCAATCCACCTTGCGTGTAACGTTTATAATGACCGCAGACGGATTTTATTATTTTATTTTTACAGCAATAACGATTGGGATCAGAGTAATTGGACCGGCGCTTGGATTTCTACTCGGGGCTTTGTGTACGAGAGTATACGTAGACCCACTTCAAGACCCTGGATACGAATATGATGATCCGAGATGGGTTGGAGCTTGGTGGCTGTAAGTAAATCCTCATAAAATTTGTTGTCTTTTACAGTAGCGTTGCGTTTTTAGCTGCATTAATCAGTGTCGTTGAGGATTTATTGTTTACGTTATTCGTCTTTTAAATAACGTCATATTTAAATTCTTGGATTTCTATATTGCAATGTAACGTGAAGTCGTCGTTGAGAGTTCATGTAACATAGAACTATTTATTGTTATTGGTTGAGCTTCGGTCTTTACGAACTGTACCGGTATAATGTACCCATTGAAAGATCCTCTACGGTATGGGTGCTGGAATGCCTTCGCAGCCATACACATTACACACATCGCGGAACTGTCAGCTACCGTTACTTAACCATTGACTCAGATTTGTGCGCAAAATCCACGAAGAAAGCACGAACGTGACTGAAGTACTAAAGGAATGCGTACAAAGTGATATTCCAGTCTTTGTAACAATGGCATCTTTAATACGTACAGGACAGAGTTGGCAATTCACTGTTTTTTTGCTTGTGCCGAAGTAGAAATTAAGCGTGCTTTGACTTGCAATAGATTGAATTCGCAAATCACGAAATGGTTCCGCGTATTTCCTTATTGTTTTTAGTTATAACTTCATCGATGAAGACTGAATATTAATAAGGGTTTTATGGATACATTTGTAACCGCCATGAATACATTGTACATATTTCAATGATATTTATATTAACGTTTATTGTCATTAAGAGCAGTGTTGTCCTAGTGGATTCAGTGTGTGACTCTCATCCCTGAGGTCGTAGGTTTGATCTCCGGCTGTGAAACGGACTTTCTTTCATGTGCGAATATAACATTCGCTCGAACGGTGAAGGAATACATAGTGAGGAAACCAACTTGCCCTTAAACCCATTATCACCTATTACATTGACAAATGATCATGAAACAGATACATAAATCTGAGGCTCAGACCTAAAAAGGTTGTGGCGCCACTGATTGATATATTTTTATTGTCATTAAGATAATGCTCTTTTATTATCATTTTACGTTATAATAGCGATTGGCTCGATTGAAATCAGTAGGTTCGCGTTGCACTACGATGCAATTTTCTCTTGGCTTTCGCTTTTCCTCTGTTGCATCGTCGTCACGCTGGCGGTCACAACGCACGCTTTGTGTTATATAATGCGTTACATCATGTCGCGTCACGACGACTAAAATAAGCGTTCTATCTACACGGTCATGGCCAAGGCTACGCCTTGTTGTCGACAATTATGCCATCGCCGGTTGTAATGAGGTTTTAGTGGGTGGACACGGGACCACCTCGTTCACTTTTACTTCTAAACCGGTTGGTGTTGTTTATGTCAAGAGGTTAAATCCCTGTCTCCAATTCTAATTTTCAAAACACGTTCGGTTTTAATTCGAGTAGAATACGTACCTAAATGTCTAGCAAACGCCCTTGACTGGCGCTGGCCGGATGACCTTGTAAACGCAAGTGTGGTCTGTTTTGATGTATCAGGATCCATTTTGGTTCAATGCCGAGTTTTTGTTTTGTAATTATGGTTTAGTATTTTGATCACACAGGTATTGAGATATATTTTAGCTTATTGATTCTGAACAACACGAAGCTTTTGTAAGCAACTAAGGGATATAAAAACGTGTGTGTACTTATGTACACGCGTTAGAAGTTATACTTCTTTGTTACAAGATAAAAATCTTTTTAATTTTTTTATTCTAGCTATATATAGCTAACTTCAGGGTGTCGGTTTGTGACGAAGGATAACTTCAATAATAATAATAATAATTCTTTATTTTCTCGCATATAACATTTACAACAAACAATAAGATAACAGTTGAGAAGGTATTGGGAGACTGGTTTCCAAACTAGGTAAGAACTTGTGATTTGGATAGCCATGCTTCCATTCCTCAGCAAAGTCATATTGAGTGGTAACAAAAAGTTACGTAGGCAAACAAATATAAGTTTTAATACAGAAAAAAAAAAAACAAAACTGTCAACTAGATAGACTAGTTAGAAGTTATAGAAATAAAGTTGTATGGGTGTATGTGAGGGTGTGCTGTGAGGGTGTGCTGTGTTTGTATTGAATACAATTCAAGAAAAAAATCAATGGCACTTCAACCTCTTTAGGTCTGGGCCTCAGATTTCTGAATCTGTTTCATGATCAGTTTTAAGTCTAATTGGCAAGTAGGATATCAGCCTGTGCCTGACACACGCCGTCGACTTTTGGGTCTAAGACATGTCGGATTCCAAACGATGTTTTCTTTCAACGTTCGAGCGAATTTTAAATGCGCACATAGAAAGAAAGTCCATTGGTGCACAGCCGGAGGTCAGAACCTACGACCTCAGGGATGAGAGTCGCACCCTGAAGCCACTGGGCCAACACTGCTCAATTTTAGTTAAGGGGGGACATTTGAACTTTATTTAAAAGTTTACTCGGCAACTGTATTAGGGAGCGTTCAAGTATTACGTAACGAATTTGGGGGGGGGGGGTTTCCTTTTGTAAAACGTTACGATGCGGGGCGGGTATTGAATTACGCGTTATTGATAATATTATTTTCGACATATCAGTACTTTACACCACATAATGGTAACTATAAGCTATAAAGAGTCACTGGGTGGTCAAGAAAAGTTTTACTATACTTGGGTACAGAAAAACGTTACGGCTCGTTACGTGGCGGGGGTCAATAATCCCCAAAAATTGCGTGACGTAATACTTGAACGCTCCCTTACTGAATAGCTGATAATCATCAAGGTTGTAGTCCTATTATCTTATGTCTCATACAAGGTTCAATGATTTTGGTATTATTACGTATATTGATAATGGGCGTAATATTGTTAAAAGCGCTAATAAATTATGTATAAGTGCGGTTTTGTTCTTTAGAATTCTTTGCTAATCATGGTTTTTTTGTTGTTTACTATGTGTTGCGTTCATTAGACCGATGCGAAGTTATTAGTCAGTAGATATGGCCCACCGTTTCGCCAGCGAATATTTTTACGATATCTCCAACAATAATTGTCATTTAGATCAATTTACACTGCACTTGCTAGCCCTCTGACATTGAGTGTCCATGGGCGGCAGTATGGGCAGCATGGGCATGCTTCGTATAAGCTGGATCCAGAAGGTCTCTAACGAGAAGGTTCTAAAACGAGTTGGAATGTCGAAAAAGCTTTTGCTGACCATTAAACAACGGAAAGTTGCGTACCTGGGCCACGTGTTGCGCCATGACCGCTACCACCTCCTTCAATTAATTATAATGGGTAAAATCCAGGGTAAACGGCGTGTTGGTAGAAGGAAGAAATCATGGCTTCGCAACGTTAGGGGAGTGGACGGGTATTGCAACTGCGGAATAGTTGCTGCATCTGGCACAGGACAAGACACGCTTCAAGATACTGACGGCCAACCTCCAGTAATGGCGAGGCACTAAAAGAAGAAGGGCGGCAGTATCACTTAATATCAGATGAGCCTCCTGTCCGTTTCAAAAAAATACATAAACGCATAATAAATACATACATACACCTAAACCTTCGTCATACATTTGTACGTTATAATATGTGTAGATATAGTATGCTAAGTATTTAAATTTGCTAAGTAACTATAAATGTGGGCGGAGTGTGATAAAACTATTATTCTTGTTTACTTAAATAACATTTATGGTATTAGATATCGTGGGATATCCCTATCACGCGTTTGGCACATGTGTGACAACCTTGAACATTTTGACGGATAAAAAGAGTTTGACAGGTCTTGATATGTATTTGTATTGATTTATTTAAATGCGTAAAAAGTCAAAAGTCAAAATCTTTTATTCATATAGGTAACACAATGTACACTTATGAACGTCAAAAAAGAAATATACATTAAATGCTTCTAATTTTATATTTACTGCCAGTTCTCAAATCAAGGGCGTAGAACGGAAGAGAAGAACTGGCAATAAACTCTCCGCTACTCTTTTGTAGGAATCTCATGTTATGTAGTGTCATATAACATGAGATTCCGTTCTATTACTGGGGAAAACTCAGTTTTAAAAGGCTTAAGGACCTTTGAGAATATCTCTCTAGTGGTCATCCATAAGACATAGGATTTTATACTCTAATACTTTTTATATTTATATTTTATAATTTCTTATCTTTTACTAAGGTTTTGTTTTGTCAATTCTAGGTATGGTGTTCATAGCAGGATTCGTTGTGATCCTCTCCTCTCTGATGTTCTGTTTCCCGAAGCAAATACGACAGAGTCCTCTACCACCGCCTCCCAAGAAGATTAAAGAGAAGAATGAGCCGTTGTTTAAAGGTATTTTACAAGTTCATTAATTAATGGAAATAAAGCTGACGTATTAAAGAATAGTCAAAATCTGTTATAACGACATCGAAGGGACTACTCATATTTGGTCGTAAAAACAGATAGCCGTAACAGCCGATGTTATTAAGTACCTAATACATAGAATTCAGCCGGGATCTTTGATTTTGGTAAATATAACCGGTATGTTGTTCTAAACGATGTCGACGTAAACGGTTTTGACAGTAATTGGATTAAAGCGTAATATACGTACGCTTTTAAAATAATGAATGTTAATATTAATATAAAGTCTTATTCCTTATTAGTATTGAATAGGGTCAAATGCACGTAAATTATTTCCAAGCGTACGAGTAAATTTGCACCAAAACAATGTCAAATAAACGTCAGTTGATAAATGACAATGACATTCCAATTCCTTATCTAAGAAATTTTAAAGTGTTTTAAATGCTATTTCAAGATTTTAATGCAATATAAAAATTAATCATAGTTTATTAATTCACAAATTTCTGTGCAATATCTAATCTTTTGACAAATGACAGTGACATCTTTGATATAAGCAATGTGTTGACAGTCAACTTTTGTTGTTTTAACTGTCTCGGAATTTTACCGGCATTTATTTTGACAATTGACGAATTCACAGATTTCTTTGCGACGATCAAACGTCAGTTGACAAATGACATCCTGATGTGGAGGACAGCCAGTTCGGTTCTCCATCTGATGCCCATAAGTGGAGTCTACTCATTCCTGCCCAAATACCTGGAGAAGCAGTTCAGACTGCCCACGCACGATGCCAACCTTGTTTCGGGTGAGGTACTAGATTTTATGAGTTCGGATATTTCGTCTTGATATTTTGGAAATAAACAAAGAAATTACACGACGAAATGTAATCTTTGGGTCTTTTGAAGTCAATAAGTTAACGCAGATTTTTTGTTAGCGCGTATAATCTTTGAGTGACAGATTTTTCCACATACACCGCACAAAATGGTGTTATGCGGAATTGTCCTTTGCGGTCTTATAACGTATGATCAAGTTTACCTTCCAATTGATAAGAAATTGACAATTACTTTAATTTATTAAATGCCTTTAATATCCGCAGACGATAATTATTAATAAGATCATTTCTTCGAGTTCTATAAAAAAATATATTCTTTCCATTTACAGAAATGAACATACATTTTTATTAGTCTTTCAATACGCTATAATTTATATGGTAGACAAAAAGATTAGTGGTTTTCATTCACTTACAATAAGCGTCAATTTACATTATAAGTATTGATTAGACTATCTAAAGTTAGTAATTCTTTTTTGGGTAAAGGGATACTCTTCTTTAATAAAATCCCAGAGGCTCTTTTATCTCTGCCTTTCAATAAATTTAAGAAATGCATTAAAGAAAAGCTGTGAAAAAGGCTTACTATAAAGTCAACGATTATCTAGTTGATAAAAGGGCCTGGGACTAGTGCTAGACAGGCTACTTCTAATTAATTTGCGATATTTGTTTTAAAATAAGTGTTTTTTTGAAGATTTGCTATTTTAAAAGAGTACCGAGAGTTTTTTACGCCGGCTTTTTCTCTCGGCCCTCCCTCTGTCTTCTTTGCCGATGAGTAGGGATGTCTACCGATTCAAATTTAATGACGTGGAATAAGTGATACATGTATCTTATGTTCCATAATAAACATATTTTATTTTATTTATTTTTTTATTTTATTGCACTATCTATTAAATTTCCTTACATATTAACACACTCAAATCTAATTAATATAATTAACCGCCATAATTCTTTGTTAATTCTCATGTGTCAAAAACCATACAGACTATACTACAGTGAGAACGTACGAAACAAAAGATGAACGTTGAAGTGTCAGTGGTCGGACGGAATGACACGACGTATCATGTCGTGTCTCAATGCGTATTCATAGAGGCGTTCATTTGAATTTGAATAGAATTGCTCTCATAGAAGAAAAAATAAAATTTAAATTAGCGTAATAAGATCTTCATGTTTTGTGTATGTGACTTATTACTACTAATAAGTAGCTTCTAATTTTTAAAGGAATTTATTATTAGACAATTTTTATTTTACGAGTAAATTGAATTTAAACTATTACTTATGTATATAGGTAATATAACTACCTATATTATATATATTAATAATATTCAATAAATGACATAGAAGTTTATTTTTCCAGGTCTTGGCGGAATTTTGGTGATGGGTTTAGGTATTATCACCTCCGGAGTGGTTATACTAAAGCTGGTCCCGAGTGCGAGACAAGTTGCCGCCTGGACAGCTGCAACTGCTGCCATCTATAGCGCTGGTAAAGATTATTAGCTAATATTTTGTCCTTTTCGCTCTTATGATATTTTGATGGAACTATACTTCAAATTAATTATATTTTTAATTTAAATATCAGATACATTTTCAACACTAAAGTCGTTCCTACTGAACGGGCACCAAAAAAATATTTACGATTAATTCAAATTGAATTCTCTAATTCTTTATTAATTAAAGTATATTTCGGCACCAAACATTGTTTTTTCTATGTACTATGTTCTTCTAAAATGTTTATATTTATAAAACTGGTTTATTGTTTCAGGTATGATACTGCTTATGTTTGTGAGTTGTCCCGAAGAATCCTTTAGAGTGTTGAGTACGACAAACAACAACCTCACTTGTAGTGTTGGCTGTCATTGCGAGAATTCCTCATATAGTCCTGTTTGTGGGCAGGTTTGTACTCAAAATTTTTTTTTTTAAATGGCTCTGGCACGATTTGTGCATTAGCCAGCGTCAAGTATAGTATTTTTATAATTCGTGCTTTGTCTTTAGAAATTCGACCGTGTCCTCCATGTACGGCTTCAGAACTCGCCCGGTACCGCACAACCCTCCCAAAGGCCAAGAACAAATTTAAATTAAATTAAAACTTGCCCTCGAACCGGGAATCGAACCCGGTACCCCTCACCTAGCTGCCACTTAATAAGACCGCTAGGCTATGAGGCCCCCTACTCAACATTTACGTTTGGATAGAAAAGTTTTGAAAATCGAATCCTTTTTATTTCCTTCCTTTTTCAAAAGTGTATTTATACGTTCTATATTCAAAATGATCTATTAAATACGTTTTGAAAATCACCAATCACAGTCTATTCGTTTTTAAAAGTTTAGATTCTTCCGGGTTCTATTTTTGAAATATGAAGCAATGTTTCCGGTGTAAAAACAGTTCAAACTCTGGACCAATTACAGTTCAAGTGATCTGTATTTAAAAGTGTATATTCAAAATCTAGGACTCGTTTTGATGTATTCGTACGTAAGACAATTTGGATTTATTTATGGAAAAAAGTGAAAACTCTACTTTATATAAATTTTTCAGGACTCATACACATACATGTCTCCGTGTCAAGCTGGTTGTCAAAGCAGCAAACAACTAGACAACAACACTTGGTACTACAGTGACTGCGAATGTGTTAATAACAACACTATCGGCGATAAGGCTTACAAAATGTAAGTTAAATTTCGTTATATTTGAATTTCGAACGTGAATATAATGTTTACGGACTATCAAAATTAAAATCATTGTTGCGTTACGATATAGAGGTCAATTCCATGAAGTTTGTTTCCAAAAAGTTTTTATTTTTGTGATTTTGGACGACAAATCCTCTTAATCTATGGTAAATTACTAATATTACACTCGTTACCAGGCCATAAAATCTATAAAAAAAATATCATATATTACATACTTTCACTTTGCGCTTTGACGCCATACTTTTCAATTGTAGTATGTTTTATATTGCATATTTTTTTTATGATTGACTGAACGATGCTTCCAAGAATATTAAACATTAACTCAATGTTCTAAATCGTATCTCAAGTCATAATCTCGTCTTGAGCGCTGTCAAATTTCATACACAAAAAATGATTTGACAGCCTTTGCACACAGGCAAACTTTACTTAGACGTTTTAATTGGTCTATTATTTATTTGCTTCATTCCAAATATCAGATATAAATAAATAAAAACATCTAATTGGTGTACAAAACTGTACTTATTAATTTTTTTAAGATTTCTTCCTAATAATGACTGAACGTTTCAGATTGGAACGATACGATGCAGTAAACGTGACGTATGAGGACATATCGAACGGCGGATTTGCCGTGAGCGGCGAATGTGGCGGTTCCTGCAATCAGATCTATTTATTCATAGCGATATTTGCAGCCATTATGTTCGTACACGCCAGTGGTGAAGTCGGGGCTGTGTTATTAATTATACGCTGTACGGATAAACATGGTAAGTAATAATTAATATAATAGATCAATATAATTCATTTCACTAAAAAGTCTTAGTCTGTAATTTTTGACGTGACAAAGTCCAATAAATTGATGAAAGCCGGCTGCACGCACGTAAAAGCATGACTCATTGTCCCGTTACGCTCATTGTACGCTTGCGCAATGAGCGTAACGGGACTCTCTTCCACTAGGTTGGCCTATGCGTCCGTGGATTCACTCTTTTGTATCCATACAAAATAGTGGTAATTCAAAACTTTCGTCCGTAAACCGACTTTACAAACAACCCTTTTTTTTAATTTATTTTCACTTTTACACATTATTTTTCCTTACTAGGGTTGCCTGCAAAAGTTCGTTTGGAAGCGATAACAATAGCGTTGTCTCTTTAATTTGAATATGTTGAATGTTGATAAATTGACTAAATTTCTCGAAGTCAAAATTTTACTAACGAATGCATTTTCTTCTAATTAGTCGAAAATAATATTAAATATTTCCTTTAAAATTATGAACACAACTGAATTCTATCTACTTCTGTAAGGTACATGACTGACACAGAAATGTTGTGATGAATATGATCTTTGACCCACTCTAAAACCCTGGAACATAATGTTCGGATCCCGTCTCGTTTTGAGTTTAAGTCCGTTTCAGATAAGGCCATGGCGATGGGGGTGATACAGTTTGCAATTGGAGTGTTTGGGAATGTCCCATGCCCCATAGTGTTTGGGGCGGCAGTGGACGCGGCCTGTCGATTGCGGGACGTCGCCTGCGGCGTACTTGGCGGCTGCGTGTCGTATGACAGTGACAGCTTGAGGCATTTCTTCCTGGGTGAGTGAGATAGATATACTCCGGCCCCGGTACTCTGTAATTGAGAATTTGAAATTGTATTCAATGGTAAGTTTTTGTGACTCGTTTCATCAAGCGACATCCGCGTTACAGATACTCAAAAGTCAAAATGTAAAGATCATTTAATCATATAAGTAACACAATGTACACTTATGAACGTCAAAAAAATAAATGTATATAAAATGCTTCTTACTTTAAATTTAGTGCCAGTTCTCAAATCAATGGCGTAGAACGGAAGAGAAGAACTGGCAATAAACTCTCCGCCACTCTTTGTAATCGTTTTTTTTACACGACGTTTGTAAGGAGCTACAACCATTACACCATGTTCCACATGACATCTTAAGTAATTAATAATAATAACATAAATTAAAAACAAAGACTTGTCCTCTATCAGCAGGAGGCAAACGTTGTTTTGCCATGTATATTATTTCTAGTTCAATAAAAATAACTATCTACTATAGTAGAGGGGTGAAAATTAAGAGTTGTATATATTTTGTATATACAGCATACATAAAAAATAAAAACAAAAAATTGTGTCTAAAAAAAACTTTTTTGGAGTGGACACCCCTTATCACTTAGGGGTTTGAAATATAGATAGTAGCCGATTCTCAGACTTACTGAATATTCATAAAAATTTCATAAGAATCGGTCGAGCTTTCGGAGAAGTATGGGCTATATAATTTGTTATTTAAACAACAAAAAAAATCTGCTTTTTAAACTACACTGACAAATAATAAATAGTGGACGAGGTTTCACTAATGAATCGTTTATTTCGATGGAATTGACAGAAGCTGATAAAACACCAGCTCTTCTTAAATCCATGCAGAAGTTTCCGGGTAGCAGTAGCTGCATAGAAATATAAATATTCAGACTAATCATACTTTTAAACCGATCTTTAATCGGTTTAGGAATATACTACAAAAATACGATTCAAAAACTTTGGAGTTTCAGATTTCTTTGCTAACAGTGAACCAAAACGAATACATCCAGACTTAGTGGTGTAATTGAATATCTAGATTTAACTGATAACAATGTATGGATCAACTTGCTTTATTTCATCTCGATTAACATAAATTGTGTCATATTTAATATATTCAGTCACGTGTACGACGCGATCGCGTGATGACGCTGCGTGATTTATATTTTCTTAGAAATGTTGTGGGAGTGACTTTTGATCAGTGGAAATTCCGATTGACATCACGTTATGTAAAAAAATAATAATATTGAATTATTCAGAAATCTTCATTCCTATTCGGGTAGCCTATAGTTCTTTAAATAATTTTTCTTTATAGGCAGTAATAATTACTATTTGCTAGAAATCTTGTGTCTGTATGCACTACGCATTACTTAGCCATGATGGTCAGTAACTTCAGTATTAATTTTTGAAGTTATACTTCTTTAAGCGCGTTATGAAAAATTGATGAGAGTGAAATTATACGATGCGCGCGCACCGTGACACAAAATTAACAGAATGAAGTTGCCCACGGAAGATGCTACGGCATTGGACATAATTTAAAAACAACATTCGAATAATAATATAATTTATGTTACACTTAATGTAAGAGAATAATAATAAATATTTATTTATTTAATTTTTCAAAAGTAAACTGAACTTTAGTGACTATAATGACTCCTTTTCCAGTCTTTGATTATTTAATTGTAATTAATTATTTGCATGCAATCAAAAACTATTTTTAATAATGCCAAAGAAGTATAACTTCTTACGCGCGTACATAAGTACACGCACCCTTTTTTTACACCTAATAGAAATGTAGGATAAGCCTTTGATTTAATTGACCTCATTGGCAAATAACTTCACCGCTTTATAGGCAGCTACTACTTGACCCCCGGTACTAGAGAACGCCACTTTTGTCGGATATAAGATCTACTAAATCTGTATTTCCTTATTATGATTGTATTATGAAATATAATTTTGCTTTGAGGCGCGTCTAGTAACGACTGCACGAAATATTAATACCATTATAAAGGTAGTAATATTGTCTTTGGTTTACGCGAGTCATAAATACAACTTTATATAAACGCGAATTCGTTGAGTTATTTGCGTTTTGAGATCTTAGCAATCGTGGTCACCAAGTCTTGCTAAAATGTTTTCATACATTCATTCATTTTTTAATTTATTCATACAAGCATCAAAAGCTTTTTTTAAACGTATATAAATATTTACTGACCAAAGTTTGCTTGCATTCCAGGTCTGTCATCTGGTCTGATGTTCCTAGCGTTTATAATGGATATGCTAGTATGGAGCCGGGCGGGACGAATCGACATGAACCCTGGAGAAAGACAAGATACACCTCAAGACGCGCCACTCGCGCCTAACCCTGACACACAACTCTGACGTACAGAGACAATGTACGAGGACTCCGTGTGAATATCAAAATACTAATAGTTGGCACTGCTATATTTACGGTAACACAAGGATGTTTTGACAAATGAATTATGATGGGTTATGCAATGAACTGTAGAATGTTAGAAATAAGGTTTTATATATTCAAAAAAAAAAAACAAATGCCGATACAAACAATGACATGTTATACAATAGTTGAAAACCTAAATACGGTAGGTATATACTGCTATGCTTCAAGGAGACAAAACATATTTTTACAATTTAAGGAGAATCCGGATCGAAGGACCATAAAATTTCAACCTAAACAAATGAAAGTCGTAAATAGCAATATCGACTGTAAAATCTTATTGGACCTAAAATTAAATACGGAAAGGGACTTTTGAAAATCAGGTTTCTTTACAGAAGTCGAATTTTGACAAATATTTTTGAATTGTTAGATGAAGTTTTCTATTTTTAGCGATATTTGTGCAATATTTTTGATGTTGTAGCGAAATTTATATTTAAAAGTTAAGCTTTTTTAAATAGTCACTGCCTATTTTAACCTCATATAACGAATGTTTTGATCAACGATTTGTTATTGAAACTATGACGTCACTAAGCATAATAATTTTTCACCAATTTTGATAATGTCGGCTATCTCTGTCTAATGTAAGAAAAAGATAGAGAAATAACATTTTAAGTACTTTTTAAATCGTTTAGGCGCATAAATCGACGCAAATTTTATAATTGATCAATTATTTTCGTGTATTGGATTTAGTAAGAATTTTTTTACGTGTTTAGAAAATGACGTAATATATTTTTAAACAAAATTCTACTTTGTCCAGTGTTAGCTTTAGGTAATTGCATAATATTTTTTTGTATGCGTTTTTATTCATTTTATTTCACGTTATTCATTTTATAATAGTTGTGTACATCACACATATGGGACTGAGTTTTTGCTGAATTACGCTGTCTGTTTGTTAATTAATTTTAGGAATTATTATATGAAAAAATTTTGGATTAAAAATATTTTAAGAATTAATATTTAATTTTAATTAATATTAATTCTTAAAGCACAGTTTCTGATAAATGTTAATGTTAACTGACTACTGTCAATATCAAATTAATTCATGTTGATTAGACAAGACACGTCAGTTTGAATTTACATGTTATTGTTAATTGCAGCAACACTATTGAACAGGTGATTCTAGAAACTCAAAAAGCATGAAGTGGCAGTGGACTTTGTATCTGGCTAGTAAATAAATTAAAAAAAAAGGCATGACATTTTGTTTGACAGTTTGACAAATCTCTTAATTGACATCCAATCAACTTGTTTTGCGTTAGAAACTGAGTACACTATTTCGCATTGACGCATGCGTTCTCTCTTTAACAGCTCAAAATCAATCCGAAAGAAAGAGACAAATCTATATGCGTATAGATTGACGTATTTAGTTTCTATTGCGGGTTATTCAATATTTGAAGTGAAAGTCAAACACTGGGCTATTTCCAAAAAGACAGCGTACTTCGCATCATTTTTTATATAATTGCGAATTAAATGGCTAGTGATTAGATTTTTATATTAGTAACTAAATGTAAATATTTATTTTAAATGAATTTTACTCTCAATAGATGTAACGGCGTTTATGTACAAGTATGTATGGCCATGTAATTTAGAATAAAATATATATTTTTACGCACTTGATTTATTCAGTGAATTAATATAAAAGGCTGGGTCGAGTGTAAATTATTGTAGGATTATGTTTGTCTATGAATCTGGTAATTTTTAATCTGTGAATGAGTTTGGAAACTCTAGAAGTGACGTTACCGAAACTGACTGATTTATTATTCTATCAATTGCTGAGTGCAATAACAAAGTGTTTTTTGTACTTGTTGTGTTATGGATAACCAAAATACTAAACGTAATTGCTATCAGTCGTAAATTCTATAGACAAGAGAGTAAAGACCTTAGCACGAAGATTACCATAGATTCGTCAAGTAATCGTATGTACGCTGTTACGATAATTTTCGATAAACACTCGTGCATACGATAATTTTTGACAGCTAGAACTAATTGATTTTTTCATACAATTTGTATAGTTTACTATAGGTATTCTATTCAATGGATGTTTGTGCCTCCGTTTAGTTAAAAATACGACCACAGAGTGCTTCTTAAGTTTTCCATATAAAGATCAACTGTTAGTAATAGTTATTGCGTATAGTAAGTGCTAAGGTTTTCACAATCATGTCTTGAGACTAGTAGCATTACAAATTCCAAAAATACTGGTATGAATAAAGCGCTGTAGCATTTTTCATATAAATATTTTCGCTTGATACCGTCTAAGAACTTTTACTTGCAAAGAAGTGTCAAGATTAAATAAGGTTTAGTATCCAGTGGAAACATTTATGAATATAAAACGATTTTTCTAGATATATCACCAAATTATTATTGCTTAAACTTTGTGCATTATTTGTGTGCAATAGGTGTATGGGTTTTTGAATGTATTAGAATAATGTTATTATTATCGTTATATGTAAGCTGAACAATTATGAACATCACTTTAGGTTAATTTGTTATCTGTTGTAATTAAATTGTTATTACAACTAGTCGAACAAAATCGTGGTCAGTACCGGTTTTTTAATTGTCGCTTTGTAATGAAACTGTATGTTCTGTTGAATCTTCAACAGATCCACTCCAGATTGTATTCCGTTTATTGTCATCTGTCACTTTTTTGTATGACATCTGACAGTGTTCAAGTGTGCATTTTTTGTTACAAACTGATAGATTGAAATTTATAATAAGAATATTAATTATATCTTTTTTTAAATAAAATTTAGTTGGATTAAACCTTTTTACAATGTTAAGATCAATTTGTAATGTTTTAAATCGTGTTTTTTACTGTTGCTAAACTTTTGAATTTAGAATAATGTAGACTAGTTTTAATATTTTACCAAAAGATCACAAATATATTTAGAAAAATATTTTTACTTTTTTAATTGATTATTGGAAATAACAATTTATATATTCAATATTTTCTGGTCATTTCCGGTACAGCTACTTATATTCATAATAATTGTTATTATACGTATTTTATAATTTGTAAATAAAATAATATTGAGAGATTAAAAGATTTTTTATGCTCCGCACTTTTATAAAACCTTATTTTTCTTAAAAGGCGCGATACGAACTACTAATAAAGCCATCTTAAAGTTTGTAAGGCAGGTCACAATTTAAAAGAAATTACGAGACAGAAGCACCGTGTGAAAATTGACCTTTTTTATTTTAATTCGATTTTTGTGTCGGTTTTTCTGAAAACTAGTAACCGATCTACATTATTTAATTAGTAATAATAAATTGCGAAAAAACTACACTAACAATAGAAAAAAGGTATTTAATGCATTGAAAGTTGTATTATAACGCATTATCTAGTTAAATAAAGTTTATTTAAATACACAAGAAATTATTTCTACATAATTAAAGAAATGGACATTTTTTATTTAAAAAAATTGACAATGCTAAATTCAGGGAGTCGGTTTTTTGTGACAGTGTGCGCGCGCATCGTAAAAATTTACTCTGATCATTTTCCCTTACACGCCAAAAGAAGTATAACTTATGCGCACTATGGTATGGTTTAGTATGGTTGGTGACAATTAGACGCAATTAGACGCTCATTAGGTAAAGTAAAGTCCTGGCTAACTAAGCCTTCCTCCCAGAAGCATATAAGTCTCCGGGGCACGTCGCTGGCTTCACGGAACAACCTCACTGCTCCGAGGCATTAAAAACTAAATAAATAAATAATTAAGCACCTGGTAGAATATTTGCTGTATACCGAGGTGCTGTCATAACCTGAAATTTCAGTTCTAATTGCTTCAAAATTATCTCAAAAGATATGTTTAGCGTATGCGTAATAAGAAGGGAGATTTATGCCCAATATCAAGAAAAGTTAGTTGCTACTTTTCACTAGATGGCGTTTATAGTCGAATGAAACGCGCTTGCGTTTCGCCTAAGCACTAAGTACTTAAGATTTGTCTTTTATTAATATCAATGATAATCATTTTTGAATCACTTCTTGATTTTATTTCAAACGTTGAAATTTTTGTAAAGCAATAGTTGTTTATTGCTTATAACTTTGTTGTTGTCAGAACTTGTTAGTACTGTAGCAGATGCCAGATTGTTTTGGAGTTTTATCACTTAACTGTGGGGATGTGACATTCTGCATAAAAAATCGATTTTATATTAATCGATTATTGTTTTAGCATGAAAAATCGATTATTATATAATCGATTTATTCCTAAATATGTTATTTTTCATGGTTTTTTTTTAAATTAAAATAAACAATAGAATTTATGAACACAAATTAACGTTTAAGAATAATCAAAATCGAAATTAACTCTCTCGTAACTTTTCTCAAAATCTCGTTTTGATAGATTTTAGATGAAATTTGATAAATGCTGAGTGTATGCCTTTTCAGTAGCACATTGCAGTATTTTTGTTGTCTTTTTAATTGTATGTAATCTTGTGCTGCTGAATAAATTTATTTCACTTTTAAATTATAGTGTTCCATTCAAACTTGAGTTTTTGTAAAACTAACTGGTTTTATCATCCTTTCGATGTTTAACAAAAAAACGTCAATGCATCGAGTATAATCAAAGAATCGGATTCAATGTATCGCATTGTAAACATCGATGTATATCGAATATCCCTAATAGTTCGAGGTCCGGGTTATAAAACACCAGACATAATGTCGGGAGGTGGCAGATGAAAAATCGACTATAATTGATTTTCGATTATAAAAATAATCGATTATTTTTTCACATCCCTACTTAACTCTCACAGTCTTTCTCACTATTAAAAGGATTAGTCTCCAGGGCACGTCGCTGGCTTCACGGAGCAACCTCACTGCTCCGAGGCATTGGCCTAATTACGGCAGTGTATAGCCATAAAGTTATGTATAGTCCAGGCGCTAGAGATAGTTGAGTATGCAAAATGTGAGTGACTTCCCTTTACGCATAAG